TGACACCCCCACCCCAGCCCTTTAATCATACCTTGATCAGAAGGAGCAATTTGACTGGTAAGCTAAATTCCAGAGCAAAGATTATTCTCAGAAAACAAACCAACAAATGAAATGAAACCTCCAAGGAAGGCACATCCCTAAAATTGTGTTGTCAAGCTGACTCCTCCAGGTGAAGGACAGTCCAATTAACCCTGCTTTGTTTTCTGCTCCTCTACAGCAGTGGTTCTCAACTTGTGGGTCACAATCCCTTTGGGGGTGGGGTGGGTGGAAGGACCCTTTCACAGGGGTCACATAGCAGATATCCTGAATATCAGATACTTACATTATGGTTTATAACAGTAGCAAAATCACAGTGATGAAGTAGCAATGAAAATAATTTTATGGTTGGGGGTCACCACAGCATGAGGAGCTGTATTACAGGATTGAAGCATTAGGAAGGGTGAGAAGCCCTGCTCTACAGAATTAGTCTGTTTGCCTCTAAGTCTAAGTTCACACACTAACCGTGTTGCCTGGGTCCACCTTCTTTCCAGCCGTAGCTAGGGCACAAGACACTCCTGAAGGTGTGCTCTGAGAATATCCAGGCAAGGATAAAGTTCCTGGGAAGCTCGTGCACATGTGAATTTGAAGTTCTTCCAAAGAGGGCACTGCCAAGTGAAGCCCACCCTATTCCTAGAAACAGAAGTGTTATGGTGGAAGCTTCACCCCAGCCCCTGGCATCCATATCCCCAAAGAGTCTGGAATGTTCTGGTGGAAGTTCCATCCAAAGACTCCTCCCCCGTCTCTTCTCCAAACCTTGCCACATCTCAGAAAGCCCACCAAATGATGACCCCTCCCCCAGAGATGCTCAAGACCACACCCACAGGGTGTTTAAACTGACCCCCAGAAAACAGACCCTGGTTTTCCGGTCTCCCCTGTCTCCTTCCCGAGGGCAAGGGTGGCTGGAAAGCAATCTGGGAGCCTTGTATCCATTAAATGTGAGCTCTTTCTAATCGGGTTTTATTTGATCTGATTTGGATTGTTGTGTGGGCTTATTAGAGTACAGAAATTTTTCAAGAAGGACTTTATCTTACCCTGGTTTTGAGTGGACAGAGTGACCAAGATGAGCCCATTTGAAATGAGGATGGGGAATAAGCCTGTAGGTGGGAGGAACTGTTTCAGAGTGCATTGAAAATGTTGTAACAGTAGCAATTACAGAGCACTGGATTCCAGCTAGTCTGCTTATTTGCTAGTCTCTGAAGGCCTGGTCACAGCTGTAATTTTCTTACACACATACAGAGGACATGGGGCATTTAGCAACAGATGATTCTGTGTGGAGTGTTCATGAATTTTTATTTTAATTTTCTCACAATTTTGTGTAGGTTGGAACTTTTCTTAAGCAAAAATTTTTATTAAAATATTAATTCTGACTTCTACCCAACATGCATACACACACACACACACACACACACACACACACACACACACACACATATATATGTGTATCAGTTTTGAACTGAAACAATAAATCTTCCAGAAGAAACTGTGGGAAGCTAGACAAAGATTTCATAAACTGGACAGAAATGTACTGAAAATTAAGGGGAGAAATGTTAAATCAAGTTACAATAATATAAAGAACTTTGATTTGGCAAAAGATGTCTTTAGGAGAGTTAAAAGGGAAGTCTCAGAGTAGAAGATCATATTGGTTATCAAATCAAGACACAAAGGAGAAAATGAGCAAAAGACTTAAACACTTCACACATACACACACACACACACACACAAATTAGTTGTAGAGGGCAGGGGGGTTATCAGTGTCATAATACTTGTCTAGCATGAGAGTGGCACTGAGTTTGACTCTCGGCAGTTCAAGAAGAGAGGAAGTATGTAAACAACTGTGAACATGTAGTCAATTTAATAATTCATCAGAGAAATAAAAATTGAGTCCCAATGAAATACTACATCCCAACCATCAGGATGGCTCACATTTAATATCAAATGTTAACAAGACTCTGGAGCAATGGGAAGTCACACACACTGCCAATGACTGTTAATTAGTAGCAATGTTTTATAAAGCTGGCAATGTCTACTACTACTACTACAACTACAACAACTACTACTACTACTACACCACACACACACACACACACACACACACACACACTCACACACACACACTCACACACACATACTATTGAAAATTTTATCTATTCAGGTACTAATATAACATAAAGCTGTAGATTTGTTTACTAAAGAAAGGCATAATCAAGAAAGTCCAAAACCACCCTCATACATAACTTCCAAAAATTATGAACAATGCAGTTTCCTACTAATAAATAAATGGTGGGGTCTTCTACCCAACAGAGTGTCACATAACAGTAGGACTCAACAAATGACTGTTATGAATGTCATCAGAAAGTGTCACCAATTTAATGTCAAGCAAAAGGAGCCAGGCAAAAAGAGTTCCTACCATATGGTCCCTACTGTATAAAATTATTTTTTTAACAGGAATTAAGCAACCACGAGGATAGAAGTTATAAGACAAGATGTCTTTAAGAAACTAATGACTGGGAGGAGGCGTGAGGGTTTCTGAAGTATTGAGTACGTACTGTGTCTTGAGTTGTATGTTGAATACCTGGATGTGTTTATTGGTGAAACATAATTAACTGCATATGTGGGGCTTTGTGAACTTTCTGTATGTGTTTTTGGCTTCAACAAAAGTTTAATAAGCTTAAAAGAAGGCAAAACCTAAACAAAACCCTTATTACTACACTACGCAAGATAAGCTCATGATAGTGAGTCATAGGAACAGACAGGCAGCAAGTGCCTAATTACACTTGAAATGGGGTGACAAAAAAAAGCAAGCAAGGAGAAGGATGGGTAGAGCCAGAGTGATTTGAATGTAGGAGAGGACTACATGTGAAACTAAAAGGCACACATTTCCCCTAGCCAGTTCTGCTTGCTCCCACTAATCTGTAGCATAGTGGTCTGGAACCCTGAGAAACATGCTCCCATTAAATTCATGCATTAAACAGCCTTAGAATTCTGCTGCTTAGAAGGAAAAATGAGAGAAGAGTGAAGAGAACATAGAGATATCTAATGTTCATGGAATGGGTTGTTAGGCTATTTAAAAATAGACATGTGTGGGAGGGCAGCCACTGGGTGGAAGTGAGGACTGTTGCATTAAAGGATTGTATCCTCACCTGTCTATCTGAAAGGGAAGTCTTCACTGGACCTTTGGAGATCCAGGACACTGAGCCCTACTCCCATGGCCTGAAAGGCATAGAACTGAAGGTGTACCATAGGCAGTTCCTCTCTTTTTGCCTCATTTTTCTTCCGTCTGCCAAAGCAGGAGCCATGCACAAAAGGGAACTGGCAACTTTGGGGCCTGGTGACCTCCATGGGTGATTAGACTGCTTCCGTAGCTCTGCTGGAAGTTCCCCCTGCAGAGCTGGCTCTTCCTGGATTCATTATGGTCTCAGAAGGGAGGCACAGGTTAGAGCTGAACTAACAAGTTAAGAACAGAGCACTACAAATAGCCTAGTTTTGTGGAACTACTAGGAGGTTTATCCTATCTGGGGATGCTGTCAGCAAGTGACTAGCATTTGTCCTTGATCACAGAGAAGGTGATGTCCCCAACCCAATCACCTTACACCATCTACAGGGTATGTGAAATTGACCCTCCAACTTGAATTAAATGAAGCTGGGGCTGACAAAGTCCCTTTCTTCTTTTATTTCTTTTATAGGCTGAATTGTCTCCCATCCTCCCAATCCTGAATTTCTTATGCTGAATCCTTAACTCCCAGGACCTTGTGTCTCATGTGACTATAATTGGAGACAAGGCCTTTGAAGACACATTACAGTAAAATAAAGAAATCTAGGTAGTTCATAATCCAACACAACTATTGTCTTAAAAAGAGAAAATTAGACACAGCTAAGCATGGGACATGGCTCACTGTGGATACTCAAGAAGACAGCCACTTACAAGCCAAGAGGAAAGTGCTCAGAAGAAGATGACCTTGCCACTGCCTGGATCCTGGATTTCTACCTTCCAGAAATGACAAACAATAAATTACTATTATGTAATTACCCTCACTCTGTAACATTGTTTCTGGAAGCCTGAGGAAATTAATATACCATCCATCTTGATTTTTCCTGGGTATCCTATCTCTGCTTAGTCTGTGAACAGCCCAAGTCCATTCATATACGTGGCTAACGAGCTCCTGTTTGTTTCTGTTCCAGACTTCATTCAAGTCCTTTGATTCATACCTGTGTCTGGCAAGTCTTTGCCCTGAGTTTGAGATCATTGGTCTGACTTCTAACTATGGTCTCAGGTTCATTTTGCCCCTAGACATCCCTGTCTTATATTCCCATTTTGGTCCCAAAGTAGGAAAGCAACTTACCAAGCCACCCTTTTCTGTCTGCACACTTTGTCAAGCATGCCCATGTGGGATTGGCCACATACCAGAGTCAGGAACAGTGGGAGGAAGGTTGAATCATTTTAAGATGGCAAAAGATAGAGGCTATTCTCTCTCTCTCTCTCTCTCTCTCTCTCTCTCTCTCTCTCTCCTTTCTACAACTTTCCACTGGTTGATAAATATTGTTACAGTTCAAAGCAGAAGGTTGGAGTTGGCTTGGTTCTCAGATTTACTCCTGTGGGTTATTCTAACAGACAGGAGGAAGGGTGTCCAACTGGAGGAGAAAGCCATTCTCATTCAGAGTGATCCTTTAAATGTTCTGAAACCTGGTATGAGCCTGTCTTTACAAGTCTTCACTATGACAGCCAAGAAACCAAAGGACCGCGTGGTGAATGGCCATGTGCTGGGAAGGTGCACAAACAGCTCTCATGGTTTAGGCATCAGGATTGAGAGGGTCTGCTCTTTGCACCAAACCCTGTTGCTATCTCCCATCATCCTCTTTGGAACAGTTGAGACTTAAAACCAAGGCTCAGATGAGTCTGTCTGCCATATCTCAGAAATTTCAGCAAGTGTCAGCTGGGTAGAAGACAAATAGTTTGGACTCACCTCAATGCACATCTGATCTGAGGAGGCGATGGCTTCACAGCTGGTTGAAAAAAGTGCCACTAAAAAGACACAGCTGATGGCTGGAGCCATCCCAGGTCCAGAGCAAGCCCAGCTGGGTAGGATTATCTAATGCTCAGAGCCAAGCAGTGTAATCACACTCTAATAGCACTGGCAATTTGGCAGGCAGAGAGGCACTCCAAAGGTTGATCTTAGACAGAAATGCTGTGAACTGCTCAGCATTTATGGATCTGTGCTGCAAAAGAAAAAAAAGGGGAAGTTCTTTTTGCATACCAACCATCTTGGCCAAAAATAACTGAGAGCCCTGCCCCAGGATGGCCCAGTGCATTTCCTGACAAGCATGGGCCAGTTTTGCAGCCCTTAGAGTCTCACTGTGGTGCTGTGATACTTCCCATTGACATGAAGCCAGTTTCAAGGGTTTGACCGATTCTGCCAGTGTCTAGTCTCTCCTTCTGAGGGGCTGGGAATGCCACAATCCGCATTCACTCTAGATACCACTTTGCTAGCTGTCCTTGTGGGTGACTAGGAGAAGTGTTGGAGCATGCTGGTATGGGCACAGAGCTCTGCTCCAGCAGATGGGAGGTCTGCAAAACTGGGAACTAGGGCAGGAGGTGACAGGCTCAGCAGTCTTGTTAGTTGAATTTCAGAGGCTCCTTGTATACTCCTGATCTTCCTATGGAAGGAGATTATGTTGTCTCTCACCCTGGTGATTTAGGACTGCTGTTTTAACAGCTCAGGTAGAAGCCCCTTTTCTGCCCTCACAACTGGCTCAAGTTAAACAAAAAAAACTTTAAAAGACAAAGCATCCTGGTCAAGAGAGCAAAACTAAGAACACCAGCTTGGGGTCCCTTTTGTCTTAGAGATAGTTTTGAAACCTTTGGATGCACCTCAATTGGTAGAGTGGTTTCTTAGCATGCATGGAACCCCAAATTTAGCCCCCAGGCCCCCATAGAACAGTTGTGGATATATGCCCATAATTTCAGAATTAGGGTGATAGAGGTAAGAAAATGGCCAGTTCAAGGTTATAAGGATTTGAGGCCATCCCAGGCTACAGAAAACCCTATTTAAGTGAGGGGATGGGGGAAGGGAGAGATAAAAAAGAAATATAGAAAACACTTTGAGAGGGTGGTAATTATTAGGGTGGTCAGGGAGCAGCAGGGAAAGAGAAAGTTCAAGGCATTTACCCAGTAAACTTAGCTACCACAGGCCTTTTTCTAGCCCCTAACCAATTGATATCTGGGGGATAATTGGTGTCTCTGTTCTTCCATTCCACCTCTGAGAACCCTCTTCCTAGTTCAGAATCCCCAATGACCTTAGATACCACTACTCGGTGTCACTACCACCAACAAAGTGATCAAAGTAGCTACCATTTACCTTACTAAGCATTTATTAGTCAGCAGACCAGATTTTATTTTGGTTTATGTGCATTTCTCTATCCTACAACATTTTTTTCTCTTTCCATTTTTTATTTAAATTAGAAACAAGATTATTTTACATGTCAATCCTAGTTCCCTCTGCCTCTTCTCCTCCCCTGCCCCCCACACCCCCACTAATACCCTACCTATCCCATAACCTTTCTGTACCCCAGGGAGGGTGAGGCCTTCCATAGGAGTTCTTCAGAGTCTCTACAACTTCTGTTTTTTTGCTCTTTTATAGTTATAGAAACTGATGACTTAGAGAAATTAAATGACCTCTCCAAGACTACATCACCAGAGCATGGTGGAGCTGGGCTTCAGATCCAGGTGGTCTCACAGAAGAGACACATGTCTGCTCTCCATGATAGGAAGTAAGTGGCCTCCTGAAACAGCTGAATAGCAGCCAGAGCAGAGAATTCACCTGTCAGTCTTTTTTTTTTCTTTTTGGTTTTTGAGACAGGGTTTCTCTGTGTAGCCCTGGCTGTCCTGGAACTCCCTTTGTAGACCAAGCTGGCCTTGAACTCACAGAGATCCACTTGTCTCTGCCTCCCTCCAGAGTGGTGGGATCAAAGGTGAGCGCCACCACCTCTTGGCTTCCCCTGTCAATCTGAGCAGAGACTGAAATTGGGCCTGAAAAGCTTCTCACTTGGGCTACATTTGGGCTGCTCCCAGTACCTGGGCATTTCCATAAAAAGCCATCCTCATCAACAAGTATACCTCTGAAGATGCTATTTGCAAAAAGTGGTCTGAGCCAATAAAGGTGATGGCAGGCCACTTTCCTTCAAAGACTGTGTCTGGTTCTAAGCCTCAGGTCCACTGCTCACCAACTAAGTGATCTCCAACACCACACTTCTGAGAACAGTTTCTCATCTGAAAAGCCAGCGCTTCCCTGCTTACATCACAGGGTAATTATGAGGATCAAATGGGATCATATGTAGGAAAATGCTTCCTTAACCTTAAGGCCCCACATAAACAAAAAGAATGTGAAGTGTAGTCTGCCGTGAACCACCAATTCCAATGTCATGTAAATATCACTCTCAGGAAATTGTCTCCTACCCTAGAGACACTGAAAAGGCATATTACTTTCTGTCTTAAAGAAAGGTTTGATGGCTCCGTTAAGGCCGTAAGATTTTGTCATTTTCTGAGGCCACATCATTTGCATAAGATTTGCGTGCGTTTGCATAATGGATTCAAAAGACTCACTGCCAGTGTATAAGAGTAAAAGAAAATAAATGAATATGAGTGACCTTCTGCCACAGCATTCAAATCAAATATTCAGGGCATAATACCCTGAAATATGAAATAGATTAAAATTTAAACTATTGCAAACAGATAGGAAGATAGGTTTTAGAGTTCAGAGGCAAAGATGAAACCCTTATTTGGTTCCAGATTGTAAAGAATCACATTGTCCTAAAGGTCACCCCATTCAAATGATTTTCATGCCTCAATTCTCTCCTCCACAGCCCTTTGCACCACTGCTGTGGTTCAACCAAGACATATTTTCCAGTCTGCCCCCAAATGCCTCAGTGACAGAAAACTCACTATTTCTCAAGAAATTGTTCTGGCCAATTTTAGCTGTTTCTATATAAGCTATGCTCTTCTATTTAACTGTAAAGAGAACTTCACTATATTGTACCTATATTAACACTTAATAACTTCAGCTAATAAGGGAGTAAATTCAAGCCCTTTCTGGTCTCTCAGGCCTATGGCATTTAAAATGATGATGCCCCCAGTTCTTCCCCTTTGTCAGTTAAAAGTGTCCAGTTCCTCTGTGTCACAAGCTCATGCATTGCCACTCCTGCCTGTCTGCTTATGAATACTCCCCAGATATTACAGAGAACATACTTACTGACTTGAGTTAGATTCCTGTCTTTGTCACATACTGGTTCTGTATCATTGAGACAATCAATGATGGAATTAGACTGGTTTTTTTTCTTTAAAAAATTATTTTATTGACTATTGATGTATGTACATGTTTGATGTGTTTGGGGTCACGTGGAGGTCAGGGGACAATTTTGGGGAGTCAGTTCTTTCCTTCTATCTCTATGTGGCTTCTTGAAATTGAACTCAGGGCGTCAGGTTTGTGCAGTAGGCACCTTTAGCTACCAAGCAACCACCTTGGCCCTGGACTACTTTTTCTATAAGGAACTTCTTCATTTAAAGCTCCAATGCTCTGTTTCAAAATTAAGGTCCAACTTACTCATGTAACAAAATTGGCCTGAGCAAATAAAATGGAGTTACACTTGCTGTGTGTTGACAATCTGCTCTATCCTTCCTCCAGATGGTATTGCTTCTTTTTGGTAAACAAAAACTAGAAACGGCTAGCTGGAGCAGCGTGGGTGGGGCTATCACATTCGAGTGCCAATCTACTCACAGTGCTCTGATGGGCTGGGGTGACCAGGAGGTGGAGCAACCATGATCCATACTGAGAATCATTTCTTTCAGAGAGGAAGAGGACAAGCTGAGAAAAGGCACTGGGAACATTTATTACTATTGACCCTTACCATATCAGTAGGGAGACAGCCCTGTACAAGGCATGCCTTTTCATAACATTCAGGTGTCGTTATAGGAACTATTAACATGGATTTACATAAAATTTTCATATATATTATTATTCCACTGAGTTCATCCTTGCTGGTTAGTAGTCATTTAGTGGATGACTCTAGAGGACTGACCATTTTCATGACTGGTGAGGTCTCTGTGGTCACTTTTGTGCTTCTAAGTCAGTGGTTCTCAACCCATGGTTCGAGACCCCTTTAAGGGGATGAATGACCCTTTCACAGGAGTTACATAAGACCATCAGAAAACATTGATATTTATGTTATGATTCATAACAGTAGCAAAATTACAGCTATGAAGTAGCAATGAAAATAAACTTATGGCTGCGGGGTCACCAAATATGAGGAACTGTATTAAATAGTCGAAGCATTAGGAAGGTTGAAAAACACCGCTCTCCATCATTAGCATCTAAGAGTGACTTGGGATCCGAGAGACCTAGCTTCGCGCTTTGAGACCTTTCTAGGTGGCTATCCAAAGGCTAATTTATTTTCATGAATATACACACTAACTATGCTTTGTGATCCAAATGTGAAAAACTCTGCATGAGTAATTTCTAATAATCATGTGAGCAGTGGTCGATGTTACCAGTGACTTACTGTTTTTCTCCTCTGTAGGTTTAGTTTTGCTTCTTCTTTTTGGCTCAAGCCTGCTTCCCCATCACATTGCAACCCACCTCCCACCCCCCAGCAGATGGCTTAAAGTACCTGGTTTTCTAAAAGTATTCTTGAATATTTGAATATGCTCTATGGTCAAGTTTACTTCAGGTCTTTGTATTTCCTAATAACTTTCCTAAATTGTTTAGACACTTGTGATGATACAAAGTGTAGAACCATAGGGGCCAGAAGTAGAGCTCCCCTCAAAGTAACTCCCTCTCTCTGAGGGTTATATGGTGTGCTACCCTGTGACATATCTAACACCTCCTGCTCCTTTGCAGATGATGACACTGTGATGTTATCAGACTGCACAGAGCCACTAACACTGGTCACTCCTTGAGAGGTGACACACAAGGTTTCCCTCATGTTCTGCTTGATTTTGAAGGGAGGAAAGGAAAACCTCTCCCCTCTCAGCTCCTGTAGGTGGAGCCTAGGAACTGAACCA